GAGCATAGTTGTGAAAAACATGATTTAACACGATAGGATGGGGACCTGATGCTTTCCATGAATTCCAGCCGCAAAATTGATCCAAATTTCACTTTTTCTGCATCTCCATATCAAAATGATACTTTGAATCCCCTGCTTCCAAAGAAAAAATTGACTTACTTAATAGGAATATCTCCAAGCTTGATGATGAAATGATTGACAGTGGTACAGATCTGAATCAAAAATAAAAAATACAGCTACAACAAAACAGCTGCTATCAATCTGAGAAACCAACCAGCCTTATAATCGGCAGCAGCATTTCTCTCACGAGAAATTAAAGAAAAAGAAATCATTCTTATACCCACCAGCACATCGAAAACATCTGTAAGGATCTCATAATAATTCCAAGCACAATGGCTAAGGTCTCTTCACTGTATAGCTTTGAAAACCTCAGCACAATCAGTTTCAAATATGAGATGCTTGTCACACCAGTCCCTGCACAGAGACAAGGCTTTCTTAAGGGCTAACAATTCTGCCAGAAAGGAGGAATCAGCAATAACATGTTCTGTCCAACCCATAAGAAAATTGCCAGCAGAGTCCCTACACACAACGCCAATACCTGCCTTCTGAGATCTTACCTCAAACGAACCATTGCAATTGACTTTTATGCACCCCGATGCTGGTTTTTCCCATCTTAGTGACCGATCAACATGTATACTTGTTGGCGCAGCTTTTTCAATCTCTGTTGCTTGCCAAAATTCCTATGTTAGCCCATTAGCAAGTTCAATAACCTTAGACGGATATGGGTCCACCTGCTCAAAGACTTTGTTACACTGAGCCTTCCATGTAAACCAACAAAGATTTGCCACATAGACTCTCTCATAATCAGTGAAACTATGAGTCTATGGCAGAATATTACTCAGCCATACAACAAGGTTGTGACCATGCGAATGATTAACCAACAAACCAAGGGGGCACCCAAACCAGATAGCTTTCACCCATTTGCAAATCAGAAAGAGATGCTCAAGAGATTCTGATTCTTCCCGACAGATTGGGCAGATGGAGTCAGAGGCACACCTTCGTTTAAATAAGTCTTCCCTGGTAGCCAGAGCATTATTTAGGATGCGCCAGATGAAGTTTTTTACCTTTAGCAGCACTCTTATCTTCCATACAATTTTCCACATTCCCACATCCATAGCGTTAGACGTACCGACATTATTTTGGGCAGGATCCTCCTTACCCCTTCCTGCCTCTCTATAGCCTATTTTCACACTATACTGACCATTTTTTGCAGCTGCCCATACTAATTTATCCCCTAGGCTTGTAGCTGCAAGGTGGATTCCTTTGATAAGCTCCACCATGGATGGCTCTATAGCACCTGTTATCTGGTCCAAATTCCACTGTCTACTCAAGATAAATGCTGCCACTGGTAACTCTGTATTAATTGCAGCATCTGCCTTGGGTTTGAGTAGATACTTATCAGCCCCTGGAACCCACGGATCCGTCCATACTTGGATAAAACTGCCATTTCCCACCTGCCAGCAAAGGTGATCCTGCAAAAATTCCTTGTCCGCTGATAAACTGTCCCACACCCATGAAGTTTTGGATCCTTTCTTGGCATTCAGAAAGGAAGTACTGGGGAAGTAAATGCTCTTTAAAAGGCGGACCCAAAGACAATTACGATGTTGAAACACTATCCATGAAATTTTTGCAAGTAATGCATCATTGAAACCCATAAAATCCTTACATCCTAGGTCTCCTTCATCTTTTGATTTAATCATGCCCTCCATGACTTCTTTATTAGTAGTTCATTATAATTATGTCATTTTAAATTATTGGCTGCACTAGCAAGAGACGTGAACGGCGAACCACGTACTATTTGAGTCGTGCCCGGAAGGACACTATCCTTAAGAACTATTCCGACACACCGTAACAACGAACCGGCAGTTTTTCAGGATTAAACAAACACTTCCTACGGCGGAGCAAGGGAACAGAACAACAAAGAATAAAAACAGACAACACAGGCGAACACAAGAATAGAAGGCAGAAGGGGGAGAGAACACCAAAAATTTAAGAGGTTGGTCTACCTTTTCTGTCAGCACCCAGGGGCTATATATAGCCCAAAGATGGAGACACAAACGTTGGCTCATAATCACCAGTTAATGCTTCAGTTTCACATGTTTTAAACAGCAAAATGTACATGGATTAATGCTTTAGTTACACATGTCCATTAATCCGCAGACGTTTGGCAGACAAAATGTCTAAGACATTAACTTTACAAAATCGATTTATCTGGAGACATTGGTAGCAAAAGATTAACTCACAAAATCAGTTTTCAAAAGAGATTTAATGCTGGAAAAACTGCCAAAGCTTCAAGTTTAAATTCAAAATAGCAAAACCAGAGGTTTTCGGGTAAGCTAAAAATAATTATTTATTTAATTATTTTTGTAAAAATAACTCAGTAAAATAAACCCATTATCTCTTGAACTTGCATGCAGGAGGGCGAATCGGCTGATTTCAACTGCGATTATCCTGCGTTGGCCTGTCTTATGTTTGCAAGGCCACTTCTCCTTCAAACTCATTTTACTAGCCCACTTCATTCCTTAGTATGTATATATTAGGAGATTCCTTTTTTTAGTTAATGTGGGATTTTGACACACACACTTTTGACACACATACAACATAATTAATCGTCTCACTTTATGAAGCACATTTTTGGAAAAAAAAAAAGTTTATAAATGGTCCGTTATCTTTGACGAAAAATCTCAACTAATATGAAAAATCTTTTAATAGGAAACACCGAGGCCGAGGGAATATGTCATATGACTTGTCCATCCCTACCTTTTTACATTCTTTAATATAATAATATTTTTTTGAAATAAAAAATAGAAACACATTCGAGCTGTGAGATGGAATAAAAGGAGGGACATAAACTGATATTGCTCCCCAAATTTATTTCATTTATGTATTTACAGGAGGAAACCATGTGCGTGTACTCCATACAAAACCATTATATCGGATTTATGCCCACAGCTCCTTAAAAGAAATTGGTTTTAGATCTCTCACTTACGTATCGTCTCCGTAGATTATGTTATTATATATGCCTTTGTGATTTATCATCTGTTTAATTATTTCCGTATAATTCCCTGATTCTATTGAGTTTTGGCTAACATTAAAATTGCAACAGCATTTCACCATTTCATGAAACTTAAGAAGTATTACTAGTACTATCCATTTGGTGGAGGACTTTATCATCAATGCACTCTTTTTAATTCCAAATTTAAAGTGAAAACATCTTTTCACTTCCAAGCTAGGTAGGTTTATTATTATTGATTTCAAACTAAAAAGAATCATCACAGCCTTTCCTCTCCTATCCCCAACGCTCGTGACATTAAGGTCATGTTTGGTACATTAGAATTGAGTTCAAGAGAAATGGAATTGGAACTGGAATTATGCTTTCAATTGTTTGGTATGCATGAATCCAATTCTTTATGGATTCCAATTCTACCAAAATACCTAGAATTCAATTCCATTTACATCATGATGGAATTGCCACAATTCTATGGAATTGTCATAAGTGCCCCACATACACACTCCATCATGATGGTTGAGTTTTTTATTTTTTTTATAAGGGCATTTTTGGTCTTTATCTATTTTAAATAGATATATTTATTAATATTATATTCAGATTCCATCTTCACACCAAACATACATTTATAACTCAATTCTATTCTGATTCCAATTCCGATTTCAATTCCATCAAAACTCTTCCATCATACCAAACGAGGCCTAAATATGCAACAAAAAGAATCCAAATTATGCTTATTCATTGCAAAAGGGGGTAAAAACATAAGGAAGAATGAAAGAGAGGTCCCAAAAGGATCAATTAATTCAACCTAGGTCTCAAATGTCAAAATCTAAGAATTTGCAAGTTTGACTTTTAATTTTGCAACTTTATTGTAATGAATTTCTAACTTGTTTTCTAAATTTTAACATGACTGAAGAATAAACAAATTTGTTTGCTCCTGTTATGTAAAAAAAAAAAAAGCAAACTCATGATCTAGTTCAATAACACCGAGGAATTTTGAGATGTGGGACATTTACACATATAAAGATATTATTATATCAATCAATCATTAACTATGGGATTGAGACATATGATATGATTCTGCCCCAAATAAAAAAAAAACAGAGACATATGATATGATACATACTACATTTATATACATGTGTGTATATGCATGCATATGTATGCATATTAAAAAAATTCAAAATAAAAATTGAGGGAGTAGCTTCCCCTCATTGTCATATGAGTAGATATGTTGTTTCTGTATCAATAATACATTTTTTACTGTGCATAGATATCCTTGATAGAAATCATATCGAGTTATAGTCAGATATTAAATGAGAATATCTCTTTCAATGAAGATTGAAATATTGGTTCATCATATTGTGAGGGTCTCCCCTATTAGGCTTAAACTCCTTTATTTAAATATTAGATGTATTTTGAGGTGATATTCAAAATACATTATTTTGAAAGTTCAAAATTCAAGATCGCTAGTTATTTGAATTGTTTTTTTCATGATGAATAGTAAAATATGTGACAAGGCATACAAGTTCTTGATGAAAAAATCAACTAATTAATCACCTCAGGATTCTTGTAATGACAAGGCATACAAGTCGCGTAATTTTTTTTAATACTGATCTTATCCTTATATTCTTTTCTCCTCTAATTACCTTTAAAATATCAATGTTTAACCTTGATTAAGTAGTTGCTACCTAACTAATCCAATTAAACATAATTCAAACTTTTGAATGGTACAAATGAAATCTACCACGATTATAATATATATTCAACTAATTAATCTACTGTACATACCGACCAGTTTGCATGCATGCCTGGGTAAAATATATATTTTGAATGGTGGCTGAGGTGGGGCCCATGCAGAGAAGACTTGGTTAGTGAAGCTCGTCGTCTTTAAATCCTTGGCTTGCCTTGCTGTGATTGTGAACCTCTTATATCGATCTGATCTGTTTGCCCTTGTAGTCCTCTCCTTTCCCACAAATTAATTTGAATACATCGACGCACCATTACGTTAGCTTTATTAGGATATTTATTCATGAGGAGCCATCAAACAGACCCATTTCTTACTTCGAAGGTATGATTCTCTCTTCTTCTCTTTTCTCACCATGTTCTTCATTTTCTCTCGCCGTTTCATTCTTATGGTTTATATCCGTTTTGCTTTTTGTTTTTAAATATACTGTCGTGTATATACTTTAATTTCTTCTCCCTCTTGATCCATTTTCCTAATTATTGCTCTGCTCACCGGCTGAATCGATGATGATTTGGAATATGTACTGTTCTCTTCTCGTTTGTATACATCTTAGTGTGAGTTTGGTTCAATTTTCAGTTTAGTAAAAGTTCTTTTTTCAAAGTTTCACTTGTCAAAAATTAATTTATTTTTAATTTTTTTTTCAAAAATTTGTGTTTAGTTAAAAGCTACCCAGAATTACTTTTACCAAATAAACTTTAGTTAACATACCCCCCCCAAAAAAAAACAAAAGAAAAAGAAATAACATTTGTGTTTAGATGGTATTCCAAATCCAGCCCCCCCCCCCCCAAAAAAAAAATACAGCCTACTCTTTCTTTAAGTGCTCCTGAAGGAAAAATAACCTTATTACCACCAGATCTCATAAATACGAAGTGCATATACACTTCTATAAAAAAAAAAAAATTCCTTTCTTTGTCGGAAAGCAAACATGGTTTTTTTGTAATAAATGTTTAGAAAATTACATAGACTCTGGCTTTGACGACAATGACTATTTTTGAGTCAACATAAGTTTTAAAATTATCATGAAGCAATCATGTACTATTTGAGGCCAAAAAAATTATCATACTATTTATAGAAAGAAAAAGCATAAGTAGGTCCTTTCATTTTGTTGTGATCCTAAATACGTTTTAGTGATATTATTATCCATTTGCAAGTTTTTTATTCAACAAATTAAATAAAGAAGAACATTGTTGACTCTTTGTCTTTATATTACAACATATGATTTATTATAACAAATGTTATATAATAAAATTACTTCTTACAACATACTAAAATTAAATATTAAATTTTGACAAATTAAGAATAGAAATAAATTTGCTAAAAATAAAAAAATCCCCCCCCCAAAAAAAAAACCGGTGGTTATATATGGATCCGTCCTGCTGCCAAATTGAGTTTGGTCTAGGCCACAACTAGGGTCTCAAGTATATTGTTAATCATATCTTATTGACATTGATACTCTTAATAATTTGTATACGTGCACCAATAAAATTAACTTTAATAATTCACTAAAAAAAATTGACTTTAATAAGACTTGGTAGCAATATACCTGAAATCAACAATTAACAAATAAAATTAAAAGGGAAGTCAATAATAAATTTTACATTTCTCATAACTAACTTTTAATCATCAGTTCATTAATTATGATTGTTGGTAATATAGTAGATTACATTTTGGACCTTGCTGTTCATAACAAATGTAATGTTAGCTAAAACTAAACAGAGAGTTATATATTAACTGGACAGATGATGAAGGCCTAAACCAGGATAACATAAGGGATATATGCAGAATTCAGAAAGAATGGCAAATGATACATGGACCATATGTGAGATATTGTTTCCTCCTATAAATAAACGTAATTATTAATTAACGATTAGGAACAAATTTGGGAGAAGGATGCTGAATTCTCTTTCAGATTGCATAGATGATTAAGTTCACACTACTGGATCCAGAGGGTCACTTTGGTTCTGAGACAAAGTATTGTCTGACACCTGAGAATGCCTGACGATCATTAGGAATGAAGTGACTGCAGAATTCAATGTAAAGACACTCAATATGATGGATGCGACCATGCCCAACGGTGGAATTAACATCCAAACAAGCAGCACAATTACAAGAAATCCGAACACTGGACCAAAGGTTATGATGATGGAAAGGTAAGGCTTTTCACTTTGAAGTTTAAATTCTGCGATCAAGGCCATAGCATAGAGGCATAAGTTGACAAAAATGACTGCCATAATGGTGGGATGATCATCAAATGGAGATATCTTTTGGGTTGGTATTCAATTTGAAGGAAAACACTGAACGTAGTTATCAGAAACATTATGGCAATGTGAAGTAGCTTCCTGTAGGACCTGTATGTAATGCCAAAAGGAAAAAGAAAAAAAAAACAAAAATGAATGACATATAGCATGCTAAGATTCAAAAAAAGTGTGGTTTTGTATAAGTTGTAATAGAAGTTATGAACAAATCCAAATAAGGAAACAATAGTAGCTTATGGGATACTATATATGATTGTTTGGATAATTTTAAAAAAATTATGATTTTAAGTTCATAATTAATTTTGACATATACAATGAGTGTTTGGATATTTTTAAGAAAACATGGCAGTGAAGTTATACTTGATTTTAACATGCAACATGGGTGCTTGGATATAAACCACAGTTTTACATGATTTTTAATTATGCTTTTCAATTTTACTTTTTTAATTCTGATTAAAATCAATATTATTAATCAATTTTATAATATAAATTTAATTATACATAAAATAATAAATTAAATTCAAAATTAATCATATTAATTTTTTTTCAATATCTTTTTTTTATAACCGAAATTAAATCCAAACGGGCCCAAGATTTGTGAGGGGCTGGCGATGATTAATTTGTTGGTTTCCCAATTTCCCATAAGGAACAGAAGCGTAGAATATACTACCTTCCCATAGAATTTTGAGCTGCAGGCATGTCGTGATGGTCAGAGACAGTGTCGCCAGTGCCATTTGGATCGTTGGCCCCAAGTCCCTGGATGTAGTCTGCTTGAGCACCGTCACGAGGATCGGACATGGATTGAGGAAGAGGTGTCCTGAGGACAACGGAGCTGAGCGCGAGGGGGTGGTCGATGGCCATGGGTCCCTGGCGGTGAGGTTCAAATATTGGGATTTGTGATGGGACCAGAAGATCAAAAACTCGCAGGGAAAGAGGGAGGGGATGTGTGGTAAGGATGTCGGAGCTGGGTGCGGTGAGCTGGAACTCCCCCGCGAGGTGGTGGTTGGCTTGAACAACGGCGCGAGGGTGAGGCATTGGCATGGACTGAAGTTGTCGGAAATGAGGGATTGGTGATCGGAGCAGATGATGGAATGTCAGGGAGGGAGGAGACAGAGAGAGGAAAGCTTGAGAGTGGAAGAGATGAGAGACGAGTTTGAAGAAGTGAAGGACGAGGTGGTTGTGACGATGATGGCAATGAAGGAAAATTGAGAGGTGATTTATAAAGAAGAAAGATACTGAAAGTGAGGAAAAGGTGATAAATAGGAGGGAATGAATGAATGTCTCGGCCAAGAAAAGAGGAAAGATGAGCACCCAAGAAGGATCCGCCTTGTCAGATGGTCGATAGTCACGTCATGATATGCCAAACAAGACAACACCGAAGACGAGCCCGACAAGCTGTCTGTCTCTCTTGAGTGCGACACTGCTCCCCGGGGTGCCATCCTATATGCTTAGAAAAACAATGCCTTACAAATTTCTGCGAAATTCCCCTAGCTATCTGTTGACTAATGAAATATTAAATACATGTTCGCTTTCCTGAGCTATTCATTCACTATCTTTCTTGAAGGAGAGAGAGCTAGAGTCTCCATCGTCAGCTCCCTAACATTCCATCAGATGAATCTCCATCGTTTGATTCCAATCTCACACACTGACTCCAAGCCCCATAGCAAGGAACTGTATCTATATCTATATATATCTCCCTCCATCTCTCCAAGTTTCTCATCATCATCATCTTCTCCGATCACCAATCTCATCATCAGCTTCGTGGTCTAATCTATGGAACCGGATAGGCTAGGCCAAAACCCACATTAGTTATTAATTCAAAACATTATCTTGATAAAAAAGGAAAGATATAAATTTTAACAAGATCAACATTTTTTTAAAAAAACACAACTTTAATTAGTTATCAAAAGAATATGTAATTTATTCCAAATTTGTTAAAACAACTTTTACGTAGTTATAATATATATGTCTAATATAATTTGGGATGATTATTTAATGAAAGTATATTATTTCAATAAAAGTATGTTATTTATTATGTTCATTGTGTTAAGAATTGATGGACATTGTGTTGTTTATCTTTTGTTTGCTTCTATATTTTACTTCATCTTAAACCATGTTTATCATATATATTATATATTCATGAATATTGTATTGATAATTTGTAAACATCATTTTGTGTATTCTATTGAGATAAGAGCAAATATGCATCCACAACAAAATTTATAAACAGAGCCTTGAGGCATGCCATTAGAGCCGGTAATTCGGGCTAAGCTAGACGGATTAGCCCAAATTGGCCCGAAAAATTTTAGGGCCGGGCTTAGGAAAAAAAGTATTTTTTTATGTTCGGCCCGAATAGGCCCGAAAAAATTCGGGCCAAGCTCGATCGGGTTCGGGCTTGGCCCGAATACCCGAATAAAAAAATTATATTTTTAAAAAATATATATAATATAATAAATATTAATTAATTCTTTAAGTTTTAAATCATTTTATGCTAAAATACCATATATTTGAGTCCTAGATATCATTTAAGTATTAAAAAAATATATTTTATATTTTTTATAAAATAAAATAATTAATTTCAAAGTAAAAAAATAATTAAAAATAATTTTAAAAATTAAATTCGGGTATTTGGGCCGCCCGAAGCTCGAAGGAATTCGGGCCGGACTTGGCTATTCGGGCTTTTCGAGGAAGCGAGCTTATTCGGGCCGGGCCTATTCGGGCCGAGCTCAAATAAATCCGGCCCGCTCGAATTTCCAGCTCTACATGTCATGCGTTTTTAAATTTTATTAGTTCCTAAGTAAAAGATTTTGTGTTATGAAGTGCATGGATGAGATTTTCCTTTTTAAATTTATGTGAAATTCCCTTAGCCATCTGTTGGGTTCAATTCCCAACGTATTTCGGATTATAAATTTTGTAAGAAGGGCCAACAATTTTTTTTTCTTTTGTTGACTAATAACAATTTTTCATGATCATGATGTGACTACTGACTATCACCCAAGGCGGATCCATCTTAGGCGTGCTCATCGGGGTGAGAAAATTTTTTAATTAAACCAAATATACCACATCATTTATAATTCATTTAATAAAAATATAATATTTAAATAATACTAAATAAAAATTAATTTTAATATTAATAATAATAAAAAAATATTAAAAAATTAAATATACAGATAAAATCAATTAAAATAACAGTGCATGAGAATTTCTATCTAAAAATTTCTCTTATTTTATAAAATTATTTATACTTCTTCACTCATCTTTATAAATTATTTTTATTAATATCATTAACATCAATGCAAATACAGTATAAGAAATAAAAGTATATAAAATTTTAAATATATCTTTATATAATAAATTTAAAAAATAATATTATATTACTTATTTTTGTTTATAAATAATAATTTAAAAATATATTTTAAATATTACTTAAAAAGTTATATTATAACTTATGTATGAAATAAAATAAATTTTTTAAAATGTGATTTATAGATACTATTAGAGGGAGTACCAATTAATAAAAGGAAATTGAAGTTGGATCCTCACCAATCTCCGTCGCTTCTCTGTCCTTTACAACGACCAATAATAACACGTCAACAAATAATCATGGCTTCTTTTGTTTTTTAACAGAAAAAGTCAATTTTATTTATGAAAGGAAATTATAGTGGATCCGATCCTCACCGTTCTCCGTCGCTTCTCTGTCCTTTACAACGACCAATAACACGTCATCATGTAACAAATAATCAGTGGCTTCTTATGTTTTTTAACGGAAAAAGTCAATTTTATTAATGAAAGAAAAAATCATCACACACTAAACAGCATAGCTAGAAGCATTAATAGCATGGGTAAATATGTTCAGCCGAAGTCCCAAAAACTTTAACCCAAAATTTTAAAATCATTGAACCCAAGCAGTAATTTTATTTTTATTAAAAAATAAATTTATCATAACATGCACTGATATTGGGAGAAAAGCTAACCTAATCTGATAGAAGAAAGAGTATAAAAAGGAAAGAAGAAAGGATGTAACTTCATGAATTGCCATGGAAGACCAGTAGAAGAAATGTTGTTAATTAGTTTGTCGAAGAGAAGCTCATATAAATAGGAAGAGTAAATGGTGTATGCTTTGCACCCCATTATAATAAAGAACTAATAAAATGTTGCAGTTTTATTAGTGATACGTATGAGTGGCCACGATTGTTAGTTCACAATTAGCCTCATCGTTCCTGCGTACAACAGTTTTATTCTGTAACGGCGATATGGTAAAGGAGATGATTTGACCTGTAAATAAAGGAAGGAAATATGGTATAGGAAGGAAATGAAAAGGTCGTGCCTCATTTGATTTTTGTCGCGGGGACTTCATGCTGGTCCAGGCTAATTGTGACTTTAAAAAAAAAAACGTAACTTTTAGCTCCAAATTATTTTTCATTTCTTAAATTTTAACTCAAAACAATTTAATTTATTTAGATTTTTGCCTTGAAACAATTTAATCCTTATACTTTATTAATTTTTTATAACTCATTTTTTATAATTTTTTAACTTGATAAACTAAAATGATTGAGTTGTATTGAGTCAAAATTTAAAAACTAAATTGATAGTTGGAAGAAAATTTAAAAGCTAAAAATGATGTTGTCTCAAAAGTTTACATGGATTAATTTTTACGTACCTTGAATATGACTAATGGGCCTATGCATATGACTAATAAACTAGCTCAACAACAACGTTGTTGGTTGGCATGGGTGAAAAGCAGGCGGGTCATTTGACTTGTATTCTTATCCACACTCTATCTCACTCTGGCATTTTTAAATAAAGTTGTGAAATCATATTTTATGGATGAGCTTTCTTTTTCTTGTTCAAGTGGGATCAGTTAAAATTTAGTCTCTAAACTATATGACTACATTTGTCATCATTACAGACACTGAAATAGGTGGTGAAGGAGGCAGATGACGAGATGGTTTGGCTTAATTTGACCTTAAAGATGGAAATTGTGCTTCCAAGACTACCTGTGCTAGAGCAAGGAATACGATAGAAGTCTGATGAATAATTTTTCTATTAATGATTTAATGGAGCTTGTTGTAGTATTAGTGTGTGTCAAAAGAAGTCCCACATAGCCTAAATGAAGAGAGCTCTTAGTGCATAAATACTAAGGAATGAAATTGACTAGTAAAATGGGTTTGGAAGAGAAGTAGGCTCGTGCACACGAAAAAAAGCTAACTCAGGGCAATTGCAGTTGAAGTTAACTGATTTGCCCCCTGCATGTGAGTTCAAGAGGCACTATGTTTCTTTTACCAAATTATCTTTACAAAAAAAATCAATTATTTAATTTTTGAGCTTACCAGAAAACCTTAAATTTTCATTGTTTGAAGTTTGAATTTGAGCCATGGTCGTTTCTGGGTGTTAAACCATTTTTCAAAACTATTTTTGTTAATTAATTTCTTAAACATGTTTGTCTGCCAACGACTCTAGGTTAATGACATTTTATGTGTATGTAATCAAGACTTTAATTTGGTAATTATGAGCCCAATGTTCATGTCTTTGCCTTCGGCCTATATATAGCATAGGTGAGAATAGAATAATTCACCTGCCTCTTAAGCTTTCGAGGCTTTTCTCTCCTCCTCTGACTTCTATTGTGTTCTTGTTCTACTTTTGAGTTTCCTAGTGCCTGCTGTTTTGTGCCCTTGTGTTTTGCAGGACATGCTTGTTTAATCCTAGAGAACTGCTGATCCATTATCTCAGTGTACCAGAATAGTTCTTAAAGATAGTGTCCTTCAGCATGACTCAAGCAGCTCAGCTCTCGGTTCACCTCCAGACAGCTAAAAATCTTAAGAATTAATGGTGTCCAGTGCTGATAATGTCATCCCTAAGGATTTTCCTAGTGGTTCTAGTGGAGATCACTTCATCCCTACTGCTATTGTTGTCCCCCTATCGAGGCCATTCCCGAACATACCAAAGATAAAGGTCTTTGATGGCAAGAATTTCAAGCACTGGTAGGAACGAGTCTTTACCATTCTTGATATGCATGGTGTGGCTATTGCTCTTGCTCAACCTAAGCTTGCTGCTGACACAGACCAAGCTTAAAGAGTTGTATGGACTCATGCAAACAAGGTATGCCGACATACTATCATTAGCACTTTATCTAATGATCTGTTTGATGTCTATTGTGTCTACAAGGAAGCTTGTAATATATGGGAGTCTATGGTGACAAAGTACACTACTAAGGATGCTGGCAACAAAAGTTCATTATGGGAAACTACTATAGATAGGAGATGACCGAGAGGAAGGATGTGAAGGAGCCAATCAATGAATATCACAAGTTATTGGAGGAGCTTTGTGCTGAAAACATCAAACTCCTTAAGAGTTTATTGCTGGAATCTTAATTGAGAAGCTGCCAAAATCATGAAATGATTACAAATAGCAACTGAAACACAAACAAAAGCAATTATCCTTGACTGACTTGATTACTCATATTATAATTGAAGACACCAACTATAAGGCAATACATACATCTTGAATTAGAGAAATGACATTTAAAGCCAATCTGGTAGAGACAA